ATGTAATTTTTCAGGACGAAGATAAAAATGTGGTGTAAAATGTAGTAAACGCAATAACATTTGTAGTAAGCATTTTAATTAGTTAAATTATATCTCTTTCGGATACTTTAATAATATATTTGAGCAAGAAGTTTATAAATTTATCTTCAAACTTCTTCTTCTTCGTAAAAACGAACTATGTGAAAACGTGTATGCGAGGAAAGCACTCTAAGGCGACGATATGTAAAATAATTAATGGTTCTTTGACGTCTTTAAAACAAAGAAGCGGTGAAAGTTATTAAAATACCACCTAAATCTGGGTGCAATGCGATTTCAACTAAATACTGTGGTTCTCGAGATTAAAAACTGAGTGCACCTAGAGGAAAGCTAATCCAGGACGGTAAATAACGGCATAACGTTAAAATAAAGTTTTTTGCAAGTAAATCCAAATGCGTGATCAATTTTAAACATTACCATGGTGCCGTCAAAATATACCCTTCAAGCGTAAGAACTAGTACAGGTACGTCGCGTTCCCTAGGTCAGACTTTGGCTCCATTATTCAGTTTTCAAAGGCATTGCGTTCAAATAGCTCACTCAATAAAATAATTCTAAAAGTAAAATAAAATATAATACTTGGGAAACTGACAAAATAAATTTTAAAAAATGTAGGAAATACTTAATTAAATTTATTTCTTAGTATTATATGTTTATAAAATAAAATTGAATGTAATACAACAGATGACATATACGTTATTTTTTTAATGCTATTTTGTGTGTTTCCCAAAACATACTCTTAGAATGTCGTCACTTTTATTATTGAGGATGCTATACTGTTAGATGCGGTGATGATGTGTGTGCTGATCAAGTTTTGGTGCCGGTAGAAAAAATACATGTGTTATACTAGTATTTTCCATATCCGAATACCGGTGGCAGTGGAAAGCCGATATATTTATCTAAATGTACCGGTACTCAATAGCGGTTTCCGTAACGTTGCCAGTTTGCAATGTTTGGCTGCGGCTGTAAATCATGTTTATTACTTAAATGCATTTAAATAACTGCATATTAAACGCAAAGAAGAAAGATAATTCATTCCTATTTAATAGTTAATTAGTACCGTAATAATTAATAATTAAGGCCTGTGAAACCAGTTCTTGAAGATACAGGTGTAATTTATACTGGTTGTTTCCCAAGTAGCGGGTACCATAGTAAGTTTAATGGTACTGATTTCTGAAATTACTGGTGTAATACATTCCCGGACACATAATTCGAGCCACCTCGCATTAGTAGTAATGGCCCAAGCTTAAACAATGTTCGATAGATCAAGAACAATCCTACGCAATTTTGAAACTAGTATATTAAAAACCTTTTCCAAAAGTTCTTGTTGTAAATTTTAACTTGCAAAACTGGGGAAACCTTTTTCTTCGATGATAACGCTATTTTTGTATTCTAGCCCTTTAAGGCAAAAACGCCAGGTGGCTCGCATTATGTGTCCGGGAGTATATATACCGGTAGCATCTTAGTACCGGTATTGTTGCAAGTTTTGTTGAACTGGTATCTACAAATACCGATTTCCAAGCTCTGGTTCTAACAAATGACTCAACTAAAACGAAATAGTCCGATTGGGTTAGCCTCAATTTATATTGCAGCGGTCGTGAAGTTCATTTATGGTCATAAAGTTCATTATGCAATGTACAATGTGTTACAAAAATTCGCTTCCATTCCGTTCCGCCACAATATAAATTGAGGCCTTAGTTGCACTCTTTATTCAAACCATAGCTATTGGGCGACTGTTTACATTTAAAATACTGAACATTTACACCTATACTTTTTCAGATGCCGGTCCCGGTCCACATAATATCACCAGTGCAGATAAAAATTAAAGTACTACTAATACCAAATAACATAGATTTAACAATTAATGATTAAGATTTTACCATGTAGACATTAACAATAAGGCGACTGAATTAGGAAGTACCTATAGAGATACTTAAATGAAATGAAACTCTTAGGGCATAACTTTTGCAAATATTTAATCTCTTTCATAATTGTGGATCTATATATTTATATTGTACAAGTTATATGATACAATTAAATTTTATCGTGACAGATATCCCATGTCACTTACAAGTGAGCGCGTAAAACCAACAATATAACAACTGTCGAGGATCCTAAGGAAAATGTGAATTTAATGAACTGTACAATCATATATTTGATACAATAATAATTATTGATCTTAAACAATAATATACACACAAATTATTTGTCTCCCTTCTTGTTTATTTTATTTATCCTGGTTACAACCTCGTTTTCTATGTGCAATTAAATATAAATATTAATTAACAAATTATTAAGTACTGACCTTTATAAATACAAACATTTTTTTAAAAATTCGTGCCATTATAGTGAACTTGTTACGCTTACGAAATATAATATTCGAAATTGTGAATACACTCAATATACAATTACGAAGGAGAACAAATAAATACAGCGTTTTATTGGGTTACGCGTCTTTGATACAACTGTACTTTTTCTGGGACAGTCTTATGATTGTACACAATGCCAGTACATTATGAATGTGAACGGTATCGCTTTGTGAAGCAAAGGAATGTTATTCTGGAATGTACTTAAAGGTAAAACTAGTCACATTCGTTGTTAATGAACAGCCTAAAACAGGACGTTAAAAGCTAATACAACGCAACGGTGAAATCAAATGTCAACAATGTCCCAATAAACACTTAACAAACAAAAGGAATGAGAAAGATCGCGAGCCAGTCGCCTTTAACTTATTAACGTACGAGAATTTATAGATGCCTTGTTCCTATCAACAGTGTAGGGCGAAAATCAAATTTAAAACATGTCACTTAATTGTATTAAAACCATCAAATTTTATCAATATTCCAAGAGGCAAATATTCATGGCAGTGGTATTACCTAACACCCATACACGAATAGCACTTGAACATTTTTATTTTTACATACGAATCACTGTATGTACATGAATAAATTGTACATGTACACTTTATTAATGCAAAAAATATTTACAAATCCTTAATTTATTGTTTTAAAAAGCACTTTAGCCCATCTCTTGAATCCGCGCCCCCAAAAGTCTATCCAAAATATAAAAACGTAAGAAATTGTTAAAGAATAAGCGACAATAACATATTTATGTATATTACCAACGGTTGAATAGTGCTGAAAACCATGCACAAAGATTTTATTAAAGATACAGATAGTATAGAGGTGCTTAACAACAATATTCCCAAAAATGGACCAATTATATGCAAGGAAACTTTGAGTTTCCTGTGCACATACACGCACTCAAGTCCATTACTGCAGGTAACAATATTTGACAAGCACCACAACTAAATTATTTACCCAAAGCAGGAAGCTTCATACCGCTTTTAGATCATTAAAAAAATTTCTTAACTCTATGTGATAGAACCGAAAATCGAATGTTAAATGTGAATCTATCAAAAGCCCGAGTATGAAAGTACAACAAGCTCCCTAAGTGACGTAAGTCTACGGTTGTCCATGAAACAAAATGTTCATGCAACAATGTGGTACCAAAAAAACGTGCGTGCGATGCTGACCGTGGTCTCTTTCGATTGTGCGTATGTATCAAGTCCTGTCCCCTACATTCTTCCGCTTACCCACCGTCAACATCGCTATGGTATACCTTAATTCCAAACTGTACCCTACTATTTATAATTTATTAACTCCTAACTAAGTTTCAAGTGTAAATTGTGCCACACAAGCAATCTTAATGGGACATTGAAAGCCGAACGCAACAAAACCTCTCCACAGCATGCCGCGAACCATGGCCAGCGGCTTCTACTGAACTCCGCGAATGCTATGCTCACAATGGGAAAATATACAGTAAATTCCTGTAAAAACCAAGGTCCTCAACCCTGTATAAATTAATTTTCACTACGACTCATATAAAATGATACCCGCTACTACTTACTCCGCCTGATAACTATAGTAACGGCTATATTTGAATTCAAAATTGGAGTCCCCTATCGCATATTTCATTAGTCGTTAGTTCATTACATTTATTTAAGTAATATAGATGTGGCCGGATATGAAGGTGATGTTAGTTACCCTATACCGATCACAAGTACCAGATACATTACTTCGACTGTTACACTAATCTTGAACTTATGTGATGGAACTTACATAGGAAGACATACAACTATATATATACGCCTTTAATAGACATCGCAAAATTAAAATGGATTATACTACTATATGTGGTACATTTTGTAATGAAGAAAATTACTGAGACGTAGTAAATTGTGAAATGAGGATAATAGCTGGACTGGTACTTGTCTAAGTAAAGTTTGTCACGAAACTGACTCCGGTTATCGAACAAGTGCTACTTACACTCAATGTTCTCATACGATTATATCTTTCAGAATAAGTGTATGCATAACTGCCCCCCTGTTCAGTTCAATTTTACCTCTTAAAGATTCCAGAGGTAGTCCCTAATACGAATTATTTAACAAAAGTTTCACACACAACACCCCTGAACGCTTGTGAAGAAATACGCCATACGTAACAAACACACAAATTGAACAACCTGATAAATAACTTCCAACCGACCGACGCCTTCACATAGACGAGCATGCAAAATAAGTACATGACCACCCCATAAATCCGAGGCACTTACATGATCTTAAGAATAATGATATACAACTACAAACTAGTGGTACCAAATGTTAGCTCATTGTCTTCCCGAGAAGGACCCGTTGATACAACGGGTATGACACATTTAAAGCTATGGACATGTCTCACATACTAATTGTTAATCAAGTCTAGCCTAACATGGAGAGAGAAGGGAGCTATTACCGTAGACGTACAAAGTACTTAAATATTTTAACCTACTTTCAGCTCTTATTTCTTATATGAACTGACCGTTAACCAGTGCGATTACATACAAAATTAGTGTAGTAAAATGAGTGTCTGACTTCGTAAAATGACTAATGTGCTGCCATGTTAAAAATATAGGTGTTTCCAGGTGAACTCCGAAAAAATTTAAACAAGTGCTGTAGTGAAAATAGTCAATCCATACAAATCATTGTTTCTTATCTGGTATTTCCCTTATGATTAATAATGGTAAAAGTGCCACATCAACCCCTTCAATGACCGAACCTACGAAGCGGAATGCCACAACGTCCACGCGTGATCTATGTACATATCGACAAGTTGCAATAACAAAACAACAATTTATTTTTTTTATGTATACTTTAAAACTGATGCACATTTTTATGTACAAATTCAACGGGTTCAGTTTTATACTGACTGAACGTAACATCAATAGGGCTTCTATCTTCGCATGGCACTTCGCTACAGAAACGAAAGAGAATCTACATTTGGTGACAATTTTCAATTCCTATAATTGCTATATTACAAATAGGATCTCGGGCGAGGCCGTGCGTCGACCGATGTCACTCCCTAGAACCGGCCGATAGCGAACGGCACACGCATCGATACTATCGAAGCTTAAAATTTAAAACATACTGTCCAAACTGCCATGCAAAGCATTACAAAATATTAATCTTATGTACATATTGTCGCTCGAAGATAAGAATAAGAACTAACGCCTAGGTTAGGAGTAGGGATATAAAAGGTGCCGGGGAGGGTTTACCTCCGCGTGCTCTTGGAGGAGGGGCGCGAGTGGGAGTGCGTGTGGGGGGTCGCGCCCCCCCCCCCGCTCCTAACTGGAGCAAGACGCCGCTGACACCGGCGACAGTGGAGAGTCACGGGGGCAGCCTGACAGCGTCACCACCACCTGAGGATCACGCCGTAACCTCACTCACTCCTCAGCTCAACTCACTTCTAAAACCTACACATGACTCTAAAGTTTTCTTTTTCAATACTCTGAGTACTTTCAGAGCCATAAATTCAATTATATAATTTCCATTAACCTTCATTACTCCCTTAGATAGTGCTTTATTGAATATGATATCGATACTCATATAAAAATAAAAAAGAACATACCTTTCGGCTACCAGCATGATTCCTATGCTCACAGAGCCAGACACCCTGCCAAGTCCCCAGGTTTAATTTGCCATCTGTGATTGGGATTGTCAGTGATGAGCCCAAGAAACATGCTTTTACATGTGCAGGCTGCAAGAAACAATTTATTATGTTCAATTGAATATACATTAACATTTTGATGTTTTTATTAATAATAGAAATAAATACATAAGAATAACACTGTTTAAGTGAACAGTATTTGTTACTTGTATGTTGGTGATAAATTAGCATTATTCATAGATATTAAGCAATAATTTTTATCCACTGATAGAGCCCCTGCTCATAAGCTAAAAACATGAATTCATGTAATAATGACAACATCACATCTGTCTGTTGCTCCGATCCCAAAGTAAGTAATTAACACTCTTGTTATGGAAATCGGAAACAACAAATGTACCACAAAGACCAGAGACAATGCAGAAATGTTAGGTTTTCTACATTGACCCGGCCGGGAACCAAACCCAGGACCTCAGAGATGTCAACTCCATAAAAACCGGTGTGCAAGCCACTCAACCATGGAGGTCATAATTTCTCATATTTTGTTTAATATTCGACTTTGAGGATAACTTCGTAACCTTGGTTACTACTCAAAAATAAAAATTATGAATATATAAAAACAAATATGATAAATATAAAAATATGAAAATAAAAAAATGACTGTAACAGGCAACATAATATAATATATTATGTTGACAGAATAACTTTAAAGTGTAATTTGATTATCATTAAAATAAGGAAATTTATAAAATTATAATAGCTTGATTTACTGATTCCAGTGGAAAGGCAAACAATTTCCCATAAATACTAAAGTTACTAATCACCTTTTAATGTTATAATCAGCAGAATACTAAAAAAGATAAGTACACACTATTGTTGAATAATTAACTGATGATAACAGACCATTAAACATTTCTCATGAATATGATAATTGCAGAATTACACCTAAATTACAGCACTCTTTGTTAAAAAGCGAATTAAATAATATTAAATAATTGAATATCCAAACAAATGAATGTGTACATTAAAATTAACTTTCTTAAACATTCAAACTAGACACGAAATACTACTTAGTGTCATTCTGCAATTAGGTTGATAGTAAAAACAAAACACAAATTGACATTAAGGAATTAACATAACAATTAATAGTCTCACCATGTCGTCGGGGCCTTCGCACGAATGCCGGTACGGGAGACCCTCTGGCACTATTTTGTTGAGCATCATCTCCATGTCGTCTCTCACATCAGGATCCCAACTCTCGTTGAGCGCGAGACTCGCCGAAGTGTGCATTACTGGAAACAAAAATCCGTCGATCAGCTGGTAGTCTCAACATACTTTGTTTCTTACGTTTCACACCCTAAGCTAAATGCTACACATGATTCCCACCGTCTACGGCACATGTAATGTAGTATGAATTATCGTAATTAGAAAATCGCGCGAGAATAAATGTAGGGCAACTGTGACAGTGGGAGGGGGTGCAGCAAGGCGGCAAGTCCTGACGTTACTCACTCTGGATGTGGCAGAGCCCCACCGCGAACTGTGACAGCTCGGGCACCTGCTTCAGGATCTCCTCAGTGACCAGGTGCACGCCCCGGTGCTGCGGCCGCAAGTTCAACTTCCGTTGAAACCACGCGGATCCGATCTGAATCCCTCGGTTCGAGGCCATATTTAATTTTTAAAAACGCTACACAGTGACCGCAAGAATACAAACGATCTTACACAACATCACTTAGAACAACCTTTACACGAATTAATCCACAATTATCATAAAAGATTCATCTTCGATCTTTAAATTGTAATATTATATCGGAGGTTATAGAACAGATTCGACACCCTATTTTCTGCGGGAAAGTGAAACAGTCGTCAAACGAAAGAGAAAACCGATGCCGATGTTGTCAATGGCAAAAAAAAAAAAAAACAATCGACTGTGGGCGTTTCATTCATAAAATTAATTTAGCAGAAAGCAAAAAATATACATATAGGTTGATAAATGGAAAACGTTATTAAAGAAATTATTTAACAAAAATCTTTGCTGAAAAAGCTCAGATCTAATTTTTAGCAACATTTTTTTAAACACAATTCATGTATGTACGTACGTATGTACTAACCTTGTTGCTCTTTCGTAATTAATGTGTGAAGATTATGATTTATCTCGTGATTAATTTAAACATCTTATGAGATCAAAAACAAAACAAATTATTAAATTAGTATTTTTTCAACATTTGCTTTATCTGTGAACCGTATTTTTTTTAGGGCAGTAACATTAATTGCGGCAGGAAATAAAGGGCGCGAAATTAGAATTTTTGATTAAAAATTCTTCAAGGGCCCGGTGACTCAATTTCAAACTAAGGCCTTACGATGATTACATTCTAAAATCAAACTTTTAAATACGAAAGTATGTGATTTATTATTTTTTTATATTTACCAAGACAGCACTCGAAGAGCTAACTGACATGAAATTAATGGGAGTGCCATTGTTACATAGCGTAATACTAGGTGTGGCTGAACTGAGACCACTCCTAAGGATTGGGACAAAAATTTGTTTTTATTCGTATTCCATTGTTTTACTGGAGTGTTAGTTCGTTGATTAGCCTGAATTACTACTAAAGTGTAAAGCGGAAAAATTAAAAAGATAAACAATCGCTATGGATACATTTCTGTCTGAAGAGCCAGAGTGGCTTGAAAGAAATGTATTCGGAGAAATGAGGTTCTGGCAAGTCATGTTCCTTTGCTTTGCTGGTGTTACTGCACTCAGTAAGTTAATTTAAATTTATGAAGCTTGGTCATTCACAGTCTTACGCGTTCCGTTAATATAGACCTAAAAGTTTACAAATTGTTTAGTTTAGAATTTACGATCGGTTTTACGTGTTAATGAGAGCGAAAGGCTGTTTCTGTATCTTTATATTTTGCTGTATTTTATAAAAATGCCCGTAAATCTATTACAACAAATGTCAGGAAATAATGCAATAATAAGCAAATCAATTGTTTTAAGTCGTGATGGCATGCTGCTGTTTCCGTTTCCGGATTCCACGCACGAAACAGCAGATCGAGGCGGATTACCAGAGACGGAAGATCACCACAAAGTTTCGTCAACGGCTGGAGAGCATAGAGGACACAAAGATGGACGCCATGTCGCTCAATGATGGTGACTTGACCATCCTATCCTCTCGCAGAAGACTTTTTAAAGCTCTTTTATTATTTTTACCGATTTTAGTTTCGTTACGATGAAGCATTATAATCTTGTCCCGAAAGGGAACTTTTGCATTTCCTCCCACAAACACTGTTAATGGGGTCCATGATGCGAATTTTCTCCCAGAAATTCCTTTCTATTTCACAACACAGAATTACGTACCCAGGAAGAGGGAGGGTGACGTAGTTCATATTTAGTTTGTATACCTGTGACACTTTATTTACACCCAGATAAGTAGATTATATGCAAATAAAGAATATGAAACAGAACATGATTAAATGAAAAATGCTTACTTGCTATCTAAAGACAACTTTGTATAGTAGTTATTTCCGTAGACGATACAATATTATATTTTAACGTGTGAACTGGTTGTGTGGACGCTGCAAGCCCTGGAACTGTTGTACGAGAAGAAAAGAGCGATGGACAACCAACAATCGTCTCAGCAGAGCTCCATCGTGTCGCCGCAACAGAGTAAGATTACCATTTGATATAAAGCACCTTATAGGTAAAAGGAAACATCATAACAAAACATTATGCATGGATCACGAAATACAAAAACGGGCAGAGCGTAACGCGTATTAGGCGACTTTAACCTCGGTTGGTCCAAATGTACTGGATAGGAGAATAGGCATACCCACTAGTGTGATGGCATTAGGAAGTCACCATATTGTTACCACGGAACCTGCTCAAGTCAGTCAGAAAGAGTTTTATATCCGTGTAATAAGCACTAAAAGAGCGTGCCCGTTGAAACGACGGCGCGACCCCAGCAGAAGCGAAATGGTATTTTTTAAAGTTGGTGACTCTTAATTGGAAAAGGTCAGCCACGTAAGCTTACACAAACATTAATTGCCAAATTGGCAATTAATGCTTGTTAGTCGAGATGTCCTTCGACAGTTTTGACGTAATAATGACAATTGACTTGATTCCGCACTGTTATAATTAGCAGTACCATAAGATTGTATCCACAGAAACGTATAAAATTATTAAGCGGTAAATCCGATACTGGCGAATTAATAAAACGGCGCCGCCAATTAATAACAAGAATAAGTACTGTCGCATCTTACATTCTTGATATAACTGAATAAGACATTAGATCTTACTTAGCTTTCAAAAGCGAAGTTTCTTCGCTTATTGAAGGTATGTCGGCTTTAAATTAAGTAAACTACCTTAGAGGATGGGAAAAATTGGTTTCCATAGTCTGGAATACGACCCTAAGGGTTGCAAGTCAGGATTGCACTGGAAATACGACCCTAATGGCAAGGACTTGTGTATGATTTTCAGTGCTCACTGCAATACTCAAGTCTTGACTTGCTCAATGAGTAGAGTTCTGGAATACGACCATAAGAGTCATATTGTAGAATTCTACACAATATAGAGTTAAATAATGAATATGACCATAGTGTGGACGGTTTACTTGCGTATGAATTTCCTATTTGGCTCCTTTGATGTGCGTCAAGAAACCGAAGCGCGTGGTAACGCGAGTTTGGTGTTTACTGTATTTGTCGAATATTTATTTATTATTAATTTTTTGTCAATATGTATCATTTCCACAAATACAAATATCCATGTGAAGTGCCATCATAAGATCTGGCAGTATGACTTAGACGTAGGACATAACTAACTATTAAACTATACAAAAAAAATTACTACTAAAGCTATCCTATGTACATACATGTATGGTTCCACAGCAGGGCACAGGCCTCCTCTCACAATGGGAGTGCTTGGGCTGTAGTTCCCACGCGAGCCTATGCGCATTGAGAACTTTACACACATCACATTAAATTGCTTTGAAGGTGTGTGCAGGTTTCTCACGATGATGTTTTCCTTCACCGAAAAACTCATGCATGCCCGCATTCGAATTCACAATCTTCTGATTGAGAGCCGGTAGGTCAAACAATTAAGGTACCACATATGCATACGTATATGCTACTACTACATTACGAAAATATTGGATACGGTAAAAGGGTTCGCGAATGAACGTGGCTCTTAAATCGTCCAGCAGTTTTCATGCATTCAATTACTGAATAATAGTTGTTCACTCATTAAGTATCGCTCCATACTAACTTCTAGGCCCAAAATAAAATATTCACAACAGTCACTATTGTTATATGTAATGAACATTTAGAGAAATAGTTTTGAACCGAGACATTGCTCTACTTTGCCGGGACGAGAAGAATTGAATGAATATCCTAATAACATAATACATAGTTATAGACAAACCTTGACAGATGTCGCCAGCGAAATCACTCGCAGCGACATGCAATGGAAGTCAAAATGAAGCATAAATTGTGTAAAGTATGATGTACATAAATACGATTGATATACATAGATACGATTCGATATTTGCTCTTGCTCTCGGGGCTCACGACCTATGTGGTTAAAACGTTAAAATACACACATCAAAAGTGTCTAGGGATCAAGTGAATATTTTTGAAATAAAAATTATTTAAGCAATATTTACCAAATCCAGTCTTCCAGGACGATTTCTTACTTTAATGCTTATGTTTTATTTAACCGCTTACCCCTATATTTAATTAAAATAAACTAAAATTGATGTTTTTGCAAATTGTGGGAAAAAACTCAAATTAACGGCGTCAATTAAATGACAAAAAAATGGCGAAAATGATGATTTTGCTCATTTTTATTGTAAAGATAAGAAAATTAATAATCTGTATTTCCACCATTAACACGAATCACACAATTACAGCGATTTGGCATGCTTAAGATGAGTTCATCAAAATCACTTTGAGGAATAGCCGCCCATGTGTTTTGAAACAAGTCAAAATATTGTTGTAGAGTATGTACGGTATGCACACTCGGCACAGCTCTTCTTTGAAGCATATCCCATGCGTGCTCAATTGGATTGAGGTCTGGCGATTGAGCAGGCCACGGCAGAACGTTGATACGAGCTTCGGCAAGAATGCGTGTTACGACTCTAGCCGTGTGTGGACGTGCGTTGTCATGCATTAGTTGAAATGAATCACCCAACTGGCCTCGCAAAGGGATGATAACATCTGAAACAATCCTCTCTGCGTAAACTTGAGCATTGAGGTTACCCCTGATCCAAATGAGATCGGTTCTTCCGCCGATCCAAATACCGGTCCATATCATTATTGTTCCCCCACCATATGGATGAACTTCCTGACAATATCTCAAACGTTCATGACGTCCAGATGTTCTCCAAACTCGAGTACGTCTTGTATCCGGTCTCATACCGAAGCGGGATTCATCCGAAAAGCACACATAGCGCCAGTCTTCTTCCTCCCAGTTTCTGTGTTCGCGAGCCCATCGTAAACGGGTCCTGCGATTGCAGGGCAAAAAAGTGCAATAGGTGGAACTCTGAGCGGCCTTCGGGATCGCAGACCCACTTCACGTAAACGATTTCTGATTGTTTGATCGCTTATTAGCAAGCCTGAGGAGCTGTGGAGCCTCGTAACCAACATCATGGCGGTCATGGTACGATTCCGTCGAGCAGTATTTTGGATATACCGGTCCTGTCTGCGAGTCGTGATGCGAGATCGTCCTCCATGTCGCTCGGCCATGCTGCCCGTCATGCGATAGCGCGTCCAGAGGCGACTTATGACGCTCTGTGTAGTGTTAAGAGTGAAAGCCACAGCACGTTGCCTGGAACCAGCTTCCAACATTCCGACGGCTCGCATCATCACTTCTCGGGTTAAATGATGTCGTCTCTCCATAATAATGTAAATTGTTTCGGTTCCGATGCAGATATTGTAATGATTTTGTCAAAACGCTATAACTCATTTTTATACAAAACCACATTGACAATCGATTTTCTTCTTATTATCGAATTTTAAACAATATTCCTTATTTAAATGTTAAAACTCACTAAAAAGTATCAATAGCGATACAAAAAAGTTAATATAATTAACCCTAATTGCAGCAATACTCTTAAACGTACTTGATCCCTAGACACTTTTGATGTGTGTATTTAGCGCGGTGGCAATTTGCAACGTTTTAGTTTCTCTTTTGACATTTAGCGAGATAGCAAATGTACGTAACGTGTCACATTGGCAACATTTCGTTTTTGGTTTAGCTTTCGTTGTTCTTTTGACATTTAGCGCGATTTACGCAATGTGTCACATTTGCAACATTTTATAATAGTTTTGGTTTTACCGTTGACAATTCGCTTCCAATTGCATCGCAATATAAATTGGGCCTAAATGTATGATACTATGATCGCGGTGGCCTGACGATTACGACTACTGTGGGCGCTAGACGATTTCGATGTTCGATTTCGATTCCCGGAAGGACCAATTTGGGAAATGAATTATTCTAAATAGGTTCTGGTTTGCGTGCTATAGGCAATGCCCCATTAGTTAATTTCATTGCTGTGGTGCTCATAGTACAGCGTCCTGATTTTGATTCAATTCGGCATTGATCCGATCGGGTAGCCCATTCGCTATATTATACGGCTCGACTCGGAAAAGACGCAGTTTCCAATCGGGAGAGGCAATCAAAATCAAGCTGCAGGTTGTCTGGCATATTACATTATTAATAATATTATAATTTATAATACAGGGTTATGGTTAAAATACTATTATTTTTAATAACAACCTCACAGGACTACATTACTAACATCATAAGCAATAACTTTTGACTTCAGATTTTATTTTCATATAAAAATAAATACGATTTAAACAGATCACTCTAAACGGTAATAACTCTGTGCAGGAATAACGGAGGTTGGAATCGTCGAAGAGGACGCTTCACATTTGAACTTATTCTACCAAACACAGTGTATAAAAAATATCAGATAGTACAACAAACACTTAAGTTTATTTTTGGTAAATTTATTGTGTTGCAAAAAGTCATGGAACAAAACTTATTAATAATGTTAGTAATATAGTCCTACGAGGTTATTAGTATTATATATATATAAAGCTACAAGTTCTTACTCACTGATAGAAATAGAACGCATACTTCCCGATATGGTGGAAAAAAAAAAATTTGTACCGTTGTACGCGGATAGGCTCCAAAGCAAAGAATCAAATATGAGAGGACCTGAATATAGAAAATATGAAAGAGTGATGAGAGGCCTGCAAGAAGTATAATATACGGAGGAAGTATTTCTGCATTTTTATGAGGTACACCCTGGTCAATTTCGCGAGAAGTAAAAAATTTTCGAAATTCAAATAAATAATACAAATAAAAACTTCAAAGCCCCTATCACGGAATCTATTAGAGATAGGTAGGAGGTGCTCGAAGGAATATCATAGAGGGTAACACTGGTCAACTGCCTGGGTTAAAAAAAATTCAAGATGGCGATTTAAAAATGGCGGCCGAAGAGAAACTTGTTTCGATCCGGCTGAAAATTGGCATGCAAGGGTCTTTAGGAGTCCTTAATCATAATTTGGGGTCAAAAGCTTATTTTCGCTATTTTTTAATATGGCTGCCATGTAAGTGTCTTTTTCATTAAAAATAGCTGCCGAAAGAGATTTGGTCTGAATCGGCTGAAAATTAGCATGTGATGGCTTCTAGCAGTGCTTGATAATAATTTGTGATCAAAATTGGTTTTTCGCCATTTTTGAATATGGCCGTCAAACAAGCGTTTATAAAAATTAGCTCTAATTCAACTGATAATCGGTATGTGGGGGTCTCTATAGGTTTTTGATTATAATTTGCGGTCAAAATTTAGTTTTTGCCTTTTTTTCAATATGGCTGCCATACAAACTTTTTTAGCGGCAGATAAAAAT